TTTTCTTTTTTATTCTGATTGGTTTCTTATCTTTGTCCGGATACACCTGGCTTAAACATTCCCTTAGAACACCTATAAAAAAATATAAACATTTGCATGATATTTGACATGGCCACTAGCCCACTGGTGTAAATTGGGAACTCTTTACTACCTCCCTCAAGATTCGAGCTATTTAAATAAGATAACAAAATTCAAGGTATTATTTCGACTTTATTATTTCAAAGTCACTGTCGTAAAAAAGAAATAACGTCGAAATATTGCCTTGAATTTTGTTATCTTGTTTAAATAGCTCGAATCTTGAGCTCATTAAGATGTTAATATTCGCAATGTGTTTCATCTTATATTTTGCGAAATTGTCTTCTGGTAAAACTGTGAACTAATCTTGAGAAAGTGTGAATATTTATGCACTGGATACTTACTCTCAATTGCCTGGAAAGTTTCCTGTGCTCGACCAAGTGGAGTTTTCAGTCTTGCCAACACACAGAACTGAGCCATTTCCCACGTGGCCCAAAACCATAAGAGTGCATTGTTACTGGAAATCTACAAAGTGATGAGAGAACTAACTTTAATTATACCGACTAGTTCTGTCTTAAATTGTTCTCCGTAGCAGTTTAGTACAGAGTATCCCTTGTTGGACAAGTGTTACTACAAGACAGGAACCTAGAGTATCCCGAGGAAACCTGCACTTTTTGGAGGAGTAGAGCTACAGTCTACACTAAGCAAGAAAAGTTATGAAAGGTAAAACACATATTTGTAGAACCTTGCAGATACAAGTGGGATCGGAACTTGATGACAGCAAATTGAGTAACTTGAATGCAGGTTGACAAACAACAGCCTGTAACATTACTTACAGAGACAACTGAGTTTGGATCGTGTCTTCTGCTGAAGTAATATTTATCATTCATCGGATTGCTCTGTAGTTTATCTTGAGAATCTCTCTGACATGTATGGTACAAGTGCACCAGCCAATCCTGGTTCTCTTCTTTCCTGCAATATGAATGAACACAAGGTTTCATTCAACAGATCGGCAATCATGATGTCATGTGTTAAAATATTATGTGACATCATTCAATACGACGTAATTACTTTGGCGTCATCATAGTCATATGACGTCATCATTGTCAAATGACGTCATCATAGTGACATGTCGTCATCGTTTTCAGATGATGCCATCATTTGATCATTGTCATATGACGTCATCATTGTCATATGACGTCATCATTGTTAAGTGACGTCATCATTGTCATGTGACGTCATCATTGTCATGTGACATCATCACTGTCATGTGATACAATCACTGTCAAGTGACGTCATCATTATGTGGCGTCATCTTTATGTGACGTCATCTTTGCCATGACATCATCTGACACTTCCATTTGGGAATACTTACGCAGGTAAAACGCCATGTAGAATGAATGCACTGACAACACGAAAATTGTGAGAATGGAAAGTTCCAGTTGATGGTTTCATCATGTGTATCTTTCTTGCTAACCAGCTACCGGTGATTGACAATGTCAGAGGTGTATCACACAATCTTCTGCCATTCATATGACCAGAGCTCGATCTGTCTAGTCCAAAACTGTAGGGAATAGAGACATCCATGATTACTATTACTATCCCAACGATTGATGGATACGAGAAGAAAAATTTCCACGGACAGAAAAATTTCCGAAAATACATTGTTAAAAGTTGAAAATTTTCAACTGCATGTCGGCCAATCACATTTTACAAAATTTTCTTTCTGTGGAAAATTTTCCTGAATGGAAATGGGCCTTAACACTTGCCCAAGACAAGTAACATGCAAGTAAAGGTTTTCGTGGTTACATGTTTGGGCATAAGAAGTACAAGTGAAATATTCTCGGAAAAAGCCGGTGGTCAAAATAGTTACATCACTGATAATGCATGTTTTATATTATTATCAAAGCGACTGAAGAATAATGAAGGACGATTGATGTTGTAATGCTATTGATCGAAAGAAAATGATGGATGCATGATTTATTTTGTAACTCTATTCATGATGATGGATGATTGTATTATCGGTTTCCTACCTAAGAGCTAAATCAACTGGTACAGCAGCCAACAACTGAATGAATGTATTCTTGACATTCTCGTATACATCAGTGATGTGAAAAATGCACTCTTCAAATGTCCTAAAAGAGACCAAAAAAACCCCAAACAATCATGACTTTTCATGGTATCATTGTTTCAATCATATCATAGGCAAATTTCAGATACACTGTAATATCTTGCCGTGCATCGCTTTAACATTTAAAACTTTACAGTTTTTACACTATAATTTATTGGGTAAAAACATCGCAATAATATATACCTTTTTATAGTGTCGTTAGACAGCAGTTTACGTTGAATCATAAGCTTGATGCAGGCTGACACAGTAAGACGAACGTCTTCGTCAGGAAGATATGCTAAAGAAAGAAATACTAATTTTCATTTTCAGTCGCTATACCATCACCCACCTTGGTTAATAAAACACGTTAACAAAACACATCATTTAGCATGATTTTTTTCTGTGTTGGTGTTATGTACTCAGGTAAATATGATGTTTGTGATGTTACTATGAGTGTATATCCACACCGGGCAAGCTTCCAACCGTGGCCAGGCATATTTTTTAAGCTGGCCCGGTGTGGATATACACTCAGAGTAACATCACAAACATGATTTAGCATATACTAAAATTATGTGAATTGCGAGGGGTTGGTTGAATGATGCACCGCTTGTAAGAAGTGTGGACCCCCTGGAAAATGATTGGCACTTACAAAGAGGCAACATTGCTTCAACCATAGAGTCAAAGTCGATTTTGGAGACCACTTCATTCTTGGAGTTGTTTGCCAATTCCACAAGGTCGACTATCCATGCAATACACAATTTCCTGAAACGATCAACATGTGAACGATGCAGTGACACAGTTGTTACAACACATGCCTTCCACCACGGCCGGAGGATTTTGGTGGAAATGGTGCCCACCTCCCCACACCTCCCCTCAAATTCCGTTTCACCTCTGTGACCATGCTCGGTTCCTGTCTGATCTGATTTTGCCGCAATCACACGTGAGTAGATTGCTTCATCATTGACTCTACTATATGTATATTTTCTCTATATACTGTACGTCTGTATAGTAACTGTCCTCACTAGATCTCTGGGAGAACAGTACCTGATATCACAAGAGGACAAAGCGTATTGAAGGATTTCCAAAATGATGTCCTGAATTTTGCCAATAACTTCAACTTCGTTTTCATTTTTGTTCAAAGCGCTCTCCTCCAGGAAGTATTTATTTCTAAAAACAAAATAATCAGACATATTTTTCTTCTTGCTAATTTATCTCAAGTCAGAGCTGAGGTTGGTTAAAGATGAAACTAGCTCATTGTATTTTCGTATAATGAAGTAATCGTCCAACAGGGATAGCTGAGATGAAACGTGCAACCATGATGAATATTTAATGAAGCAGAGACAAAGAATTTGTGCACGGCGAGGTACAGTACAGTTCAACACAAAGGCCACTGAAATTGAAGTTTGTCGATATCTTGACAGACTTTACCTTTTGCAATGATCATAGAAGGAACAAATGAGAGTGTATTGAACTGCAGGAAAACGACACGCAATCTCCCAATCTGTAGGACTTAGTTCTTTTGTAAATAGTTCAACCAGCGAAGGTGATGGTTTCCACACCAACTGAAATTAAATACAAATACAGTTGAGTGTGACATGTTTCGGTACGGTAGGATGTGGTTTGGTTTGGTGTTGTATGGGCTGGTTGTGGTATGGTTTAGTATTGGTATGGTTTGGTGAGTCATGGTACAGTATGTTATATTGTGGTATGGATTGTATGGTATGGGAAGGAATGGTAATTAGGTACGGTAGGTACGGTGTTGTATGACTTGGTGTGGTATGGTTTGGTATTGTATGGTATGGTATGGTATGGTATGTATATGGCATACTTTGGTATAGTTTGGTATGGAATACTCTGGTATGGTTTCACCTGGTACAATCAGGTGTGGTTTCGTATAGTATGCTATTATATGCTGGTGTGGTATGTTTTTGTGGTATGGTGGTTAGTACACATTGTATCATACAAATGGTGAACTACTTACGTTGGTGACAGGTGGCTGTGATACGGTGAGGCTCCCCAACACTTGCAAACCAAATACAGTCCTAACTTGTGCTTGATAAAGTTTCACATCAATTGTCATGTTGTCATTGGTGTAGTCTTTTTTCTCTGATTCAAGTTTAGTAACTGGTGATGCTTTGCCTTCGACGTTTTCACGTGTGAGCGAGCTTTCACGATCTTGCCCATGCTCTTCAATATTCTCTTTAAGTTGTGAGTATGACACTTGGATTTCTTTCACAAATATTCTGTAATTATAAAGACACATGTGTTCATATCAAGATTTTGTTGACATCTCACTCGAATGAACAATAATAGTTGAAGAAGCTTGTAGATGGAAATTCTCGATAATTTCCATCTACAAGACACTTCAATGGACAACTTGCATGTCAGACTAAATTTTAATCTAAGTAACGAGAAGGGAATCAAACACAAGAGTTAAAAAGAACATAATGAAATTAGTAAAATTGCAAAATGTGGTTGCGAAATGTTGTAAAATACGGAAAATATAGCCTTGCAAAGTTTGCATATTTTCAGTATATTTGTATCACGTGCGGAAATTGTTACCATTTTCGGCTCAAAAATGGTAACAATTTCCACACGTAATACAAACATACTGAAAATATGCAAACTTCGTAAGGCTATATTTTCCGTATTTTACAACATTTCATAACCAAATTTTGCAATTTTACTGATTTTAATAAGTTCTTTACGGGAATTTACTTTTTTTCATAAAATCAAAAATTAGTCTAACATGCAAGTTGTCTATTACTTTATTCAATCGAGTAAGCTGCCAACAAAATCTTGATATTTACCCATAACCTAACATGGCAGTACCCCAGTATATATACATGAACTTGTGGTTAGAGCTCGACCACTGGATTCTGCGGCTCAGTTGGTTGGAGCGCTGCCCCGGAATCGCAGGGCTACAGGTTCGATTCCTGCCAGGGACATATAGTTCCTAGTTAGGTCTAATAAATGTATTATTAAATTCCTATCTACAAGAGCCTTCAACACACATGTGTCCAGAACTTCAACAAACATATTATTATACATAGTCAGATAGTCTATCAAGATAATGATCTGGAAACTGAACAGAAGTCATCGTATTATGTTTTTGTCTGACTTTATGTTAATTTGTGCACAGTCACAGTGATTGAGCTCATTGTATTTCTTATAATGAAGTGATCGTCCAATAGGGATATAGCTGAGATGAGACGTGCGACCACAATGATTAATATTTAATGAAGTTGAGACAAAGGATTTGTGCGGGGTGAGGTACAGTTCAACATCAAACAAAGGTCTTCTATTTTGTAGCTTTGAAGTTTTCCAGGCTTCGAGATCATCAAATCTTGACAGACTATGATACAGAGTAAAGCGGGGTAACACATAATGATCATTTTACATTTTAGAAATCATTTCTTACTTGTACGTTTCTTCCATAATTGGTACACTTTTAATATTCAGCAGACCCTGACAGATTTCTATCAATCGCTTCAATACCTTGGAGACAAAATAAAAATGTTGTAAAACGTAAGCAGTTCAGTTGAGTAATTAGAATTCGATTATTGTTCTCTAATTACGTGGGAATTCGTAGCTATTTGAACAACGTTATACTGTAGCTGTTTGACTAACGGTCAGAAATTTCAGATGTAGGTACCTCTTCGTCTGCACAAAATCGCAGTTTCATGATGGCTGACTCAGGATTCAACAACAACAACACAAATGATTCAGGTATCGAGGCGTTCACATGTTTTATCACCTGAAAATGTAGCGTGCAATTCACTTTATAAGAATGCAAATTCTTCCTGTCCATATGAAGTCAAATCATTTGCTGAATAGTTAATTATTTAATCTCCCAGTCCCACCAACCTGATAGGGGTCCCCTTCCATAAGTCGAGGCCATACCGCAGTTTGGCACATACCACAGTTATCGCACCCAATTTTGAGATAAGGGTTTGCAGAAAGAAGGCGGGGCGGGAGTGGGTTCCCAAATATAACATACTTACTGCATGTTGTATCAAACTATAGCAGCAACCCCAGTGAAAATTTGCCCCGCGACCTACAGCACAAGCAAGATTCCTAAAAAATATATTCACTAATATTCCCAATTACCTGTTTGACAAAGGCCAAAACAGATTTTGTATGAGCGAAGGTCAGCGACTTTCTTTCCAGTTGTTCTAAAGCAAATTCCGTCGTGATTTTGCAGCAAGAGGAAAACTTGCTTTTTAGAAAACAACACATTATCCCAAAACACTCGTTGGCTAAAAACGAAGAAGATAAACATGAAATGTTAATGCGATTAACACCAATATGGTAAATTTCGAAGATTGGAAGTTTGCAACGAAGTCCACAAACAAAGAACTCAACATTCATACAGTAACCTAAAAATACGAGTTAATATACAAGGACAATTGCATGCATATACTGTACAAAATCAAAAATTTTAAGAGAAATAAGAAAAAAATATACTCGGAATAATAATGCCATCGTGTAAGCTCAAGATACGAGTTATTTAAAGAAAACAAGACACAATTGTAATCTTGAGTTTACAAGATGGCATTATTGTTCAGAGTATGTTTTTTTTCTTATGCACTGTACGTTATACAATTGACTCCAACATTGTGCATCACATTCTATCCCAGTTCAATCACCATTTATAATCAAGTTCAAAAACAATACAGTAGCATTTTATACCTGTTTTAAAAAGATCTTCATAGAAAAAAGAATATCCACCAGATCGAACACAGTCAACGACTCCTTTTGACAGCTGGAAAAATTCCAACGTTCAACACCTTACAGTGAAAATACCATGGGCATCTAACCCCTCTTATAACCCCACCAAAATTCTTCACCCCTCCTACTTTGTGTGAAAGTCTTTAACCCTAAAGCCTATATTGTATTTACAGGCTTTAGTAATTGACAGTTAATTAAGCAGTGTTACAAAAGAACACAACAAACTACAGAAGTAGAAGTGGGACACTTAAATTATATTTTCACTGTAAGTACTAGGCAAGCCTTATCACTAAATCCTTGATTGGAAAATCAACAACACTTACTTTTGTTACATATTCTTGTGTGATTGTCGGACTTCTCGTTGGTGTAAAACAGTCGCCAATACCGTTCATCACAGTTGTAAAAACTCTGCAAAAAATCACATCATAGCTGTCATGACAAGGCCAAGTCAAGGTACAGTAATTGCAATACGATTACAATAAACTGTTTATATTACCACAAGGCTTGGCTTAGGCACAGCTAACAATCGCAGTGGGCCCAGATTTTCTGGCTTAGGTCAAGCATAGCCTATCAAAGGGAAGATGGCTGTGAAACTCATTAGAATAACAATATAGCTCATTATCTATGTTAGTGAACATTTATTCATAAATATGGTCCTCCACTGTTACATGTGTATTGTACTATTTTTGCCAAATCCACCAATAGCAATTTCCCCTATTGTTCGAGTCACAGGTAGGTAACTTTCCTAAAACATTGCTATTGTTAGTTGGGCAAAAATACAATATGCACATGACGGTGAAGGACCATATTTATGAATAAACATTGGCTAACAAAGATCATGAGTTATATTCATTTGTTATTCTGACGAGTTTCATAGCCATCTTCCCTACGATAGGCTATGGGTCAAGTTTATGTACCAAAATAAAGAGGTACTTTTCATTAACACACTCAGTTAAACTGGTCCGATTGCGATCAAACTGTTAAACGGAATAGAAAATGTTTGGACGTCGGTTTGAAAATTTGGATCAAATTGAAAAGGGGTCTATTTGGCCAGACTTTCGAGAAAGTTGGACAAGATCTTTTCATCAATTGAGACAAAAATTCTGGTCTGATTATTACAAGGAATGCACCCAAGGCCAAAGCAAGGCTCAGGGCAAGCCAAACCTTGCAATGTAAACATGGTTGATGAAAGGTTGATGGTAAAATCTTGACTTTTTGGTACAGGTGAATTTCAGGAAATAATGCATCACCACCAAATGTATGGAAGAAAACATTACCTGACTAGAGCAGTTAGTTTTGGTAAAGATGAGTATGGAGGTGACACTTCACTTTCTGGTAGGTGACCCGTAGCAATACATTGCAGCTCCTAGAAAAATATTAGTGGAACTTATGCTACAGAAAGATCATGTGATCATATCATTGTTAAAAGTTGAAAATTTTTAACTTCAAAATTTTTTTCCAAAGGAAAATTTGCGTAATCACATTTTACAAAATTTTCATTCTGCGGAAAATTTCCCTAAGAAGAAACGGGGCTTAAGGGAATACAAATCCGACTACAGTGAAACCAAGTGCTAAAAGATGGACAGGCACCTCAGAATAAGCTTCCATATCTTCCAAAAACTGAGTAAGGAGTGTCAAGGAAAAATTAATATCTGCAACCCAGTATCGATGTAGACTTATCAAACAGTCTGTAAAGAAACAAGAAAATCAGTTGTTAGCATTGCAGGCACCACGGCTGGAAGAAATAGGGAGCACACAAGCACTGCTTGCAGGAAATGTTAACCAGCTGCGGGAAATTTGTTTGAATGAAGATTTGCTATTGAAAATTTGTGTTATATGCGTTAACACCCATGTCCCACTATGGGTGCAACAACATATGGTTGACAGACATTATTCCTTGAATTTAAAACCTTGATGGTCAACTACAGAACACTATATGTTTATGCACATGCAGATTTAGCACAAAAATACTCCGTTGGTCTGCAGGAAACTATTGTCTCCAGGTTGTGCTACCAGGAAGAAAATTATTTTTTCCCACTGGTGGGACAGGGGGAGGGGATTACAAGCATTTTAGTCTACTATCATTTTTCATAAGAAGATTGAGTTTTTAGGGAGGAGGGAGGGGGGGGGAGCTAAAATATTTTGGTGCCATTACTGATTATGTCGTTACTTGAAGTAGTGTCATATCTGGTTTGCAGTGCTGCATGTGTGTTGGTCATGCTTCAAAAAATCAAAAAGTTAAAACTCTGGTCACAAAATATTTGCACATGTACCTGATGTGAATTGAATCAAATGACCATGCTGTTTGGTATCAATATGCCAACCAATCAAAATATCAACGGTGTCCTAAAACATCAATAAACTAGGTAAGTTGAGAACTTGGCACTGTGTAATCATCGAGTATGAACGTCTTTTGAGTATACAATTCTATTTAATTCAAAATTAAACATTGATCACTGATTGATGAATAATCTTTTGCTCACCCGGAAATGAGGCGTAAAAACTTGGGGATACTCCACAGCAATCGGCATGATTATTGACAGAACAGAATGAAGTAGATCTAAATCAATTTGGGAAAGATTGAAAATGATTTACAGATCAAGCCTCAATTGACCTTTCCCCTTTTGAGTGAAATTGTGATCTGGACAAGTCTGGACAAAAATGTCATCACAGCTTGAAAGAGCATCACAAAATTAGTAATATTCCGAAGTTTCGTTGTGAAATGTTGTAAAATGTGGATAATATTACAGATATATTGCCGTTTTTCAGTCATTTGGTATTACAAATGGGAAATTGATAATCAGATGATCAAACTGATGCAAAATGTTAGATTGTAATGCAAAATGACTGAAAAACGGCAAACTTCACAAGGTTATATTCCGCATTTTACAACATTTTGCAACGAAACTTCGGAATATTACTAATTTTGTGATGCTCTTTCAAGCTGTGATGAAATTGTTGCCCAGGCATACCTAGATCAAAATTTCACTCATAAGGGGAAAGGTCTATTGGCAAGTCAAGTACATGTCTGGATTTCTCTGATAAAAAATGTATTCAGCTCTGTTGCTGCAAAGGCTCTAAAACATAAGGCAAGTCAAGGAATGATCTAAGCTTCACCAACCAGATGTGTCAGCATTTTCTAGAATAATGTGCAACTTGTCCAACAGCATCTAAACAAATGCATATGACAAAAATTAATCTTTATATCACACATTAACCCTTTAAGTAGCCATGCACCCGCATGCACCTTACTTTATTGTCTAACGCCAAACAATTTTACTCATCAAGGGGAGAGTGCTGCCCATTGAAATGAATAAAACTGGAATGATAACTCCAACCAGAAATTTGAAGGCCAGTCCTAGTCTTTTCATGCATGTGAAAGGCATTCAATCAGTCAATCATGATATAAATATGCAGGTCTTGACTCCCAGACATGCATATCTGGGGGTCAAGATTTGGCTTCAAGAAAAAGATCCGAAGGTAGCGTTCCAGTTATATTCATTTCAATGCTGCTGCCACTCAATGGGCTAATAAGACGGCAATTGTTAGAAATCTATACTAACAGGAATAAAATCTCTAAATCGATGTTTCTTTTCATCTTGCTCAACAGCCTGCAAATAATTCAAAATTGTATTACTTCACAAACTATAGTGATGACATATATCACTCAACAGGGAAATTCATGTTTCATAGTACCTTTGTCAAGATTTTGATCAACAACGACTTATGTTCTTCTGAGGAAGCAGATTCCACTTTTGAAATCACCAAGAATATGAACCTATGGACATCGGAATTTAATACCATGGACGACGTGACCAACATTTTTCCGTATGAAATTTAATCATTTTAAAAGATCATGCATATACACTATACAATTACCCTTTTGCTTCTGCACCAAGATGTCCAGTTATAATTCCAACACATTTAGCAATCTGATCTTTTAATTCAAGAGTGTTTGGATTTCTTTCACGAAATATTGCTTCAGCAAAACTCAGGATTTCATCCACAACTTTTATTACAGCCTGGGATATTGAAGTTAATAGAAAATAGTGTCATGGGATCATGAGGATCTTTTGGGAGGGACATGGTACCAAGAAGGACACTCAATAGTGGTGCAAGGGAGGGGGGCATTCAACACTATTAAAGGGGGGGGACTCAACAATTATGCAAAGGGGGAATCATTGACAGTAATATAAGATGGGGGGATAGCATTGAACAGTATTTCTGGAGGAGTTCCTCAACAGTGTTGTAAGGAAGCGGCCCTCAATGTGTCTGGGGTGTGGGGAGAACAGTGCTACAATTAAAGAGAGGGTGGCACTAAACAGTGTGTTTGGCGGGAACCCTCAACACTACTGCAAGGGGGGGGGGGAGGCTCAACAATATGTCTGGGTTATGGCCTCAACAGTGCCGCAAAGTAGATGGCCCTCAACAGTGTGTCTGGTGGTGTCCCTTAACAGTGCTGCAAGGGGGAGGGGATGGCCCTCAAGAGTGTGTCTGTCGACAGTGTTACAAGGTGCAACTCACCTGAAAATTACTTGGCTGGTTGACAAACTCTTCAAGTTTCTTGGCAGCCGCCAAACGTTTCTCGCTATCAGTTTCCTTATTAACCTGTCTGACCAAGAGTGACAGGGGAGAATCATCACTAAAGTTGCCCACTCTTCGATCTAAACAGACAAAAGTTCAAATTATTTTTCCTGAAATAACTATTAAGCTAAAACAAAGATGAATTTTGTAATTACTAAGCCTGCTTCCCAATTTGGTTGTGACTGTAGTCCAGACTGCAGAATTGGTCAGAGCTGCCCCCAAGATTTTTTTTAGGGAAAACTTTTCGCACCTCTGGAAAGTACTGATATAAACCATTTTCAAACACAAATCTGCTCCAAATTTCATTGTATTTGGTCACTTTTGTGCCCCTGACTATGTCTTGACGAGTTGACGTGCCCCTGCCCCTAGATTTTTAGCTTTTGCGCTCCCAAGATCTCGTCGAAAACAGCCCAACTCTGCAATCTGGACTGCTGTGACCAAATCATGTTTGATGATGTACATAAAATCGTAGGCGGATTGTAATAATTCCAAATACGGAACAGAACACAAAAATGCCTGTTGTCAGACAGAATAAAATAATAAAGTATGATAGGGTATGGTTGCAGCCTAATGGATTACCATTTTACACTGCAATCCATCACACACAGTGGCTGCCTACTGATAATCTATAATTGAAGCTGCTTTCAAACTTTCCAGGAAATTTATAATTACAAACTGTATTACACGTATATTATGAAATATGCAACATTTGTCCGATATTTTTAAACATCAATTGTCCAAAATTAGATAACAGGACACCACTTTAATACATAACAATATAAATATATGTAGTAATTTTATAAGACCATTGTTTGTTAAATACCTTTGAGTGAGTCGCGATAGACATCTCTTTGAACCAATGCATTGTTTTTCTCGCGAAACCCAGAGCTTTTTTCTGGCCGTCTTAAACTCTCGTTTTTGCCTCTGTCCTTCGAATCTGCAATGAAAGCTCGCCCTGTACCTTCATAATTTTTATCTCTAGTCCTGTTGGCCTGCTCGTCCGTCTTGTTGTCGCGTTGTTTGCGGGTTTTCGTAACGTCCACACGACTATCGTTTCTCGAATTCGTACTGCGAGTCGATTCGGTCGAAGTGTCGCGTTGCCTATCTTTGGACGGACGCTCTTTTCGAGCTTGCCTAACACGGCCTTGGCTTCGAGCATTCATGCCGTTTCATAGCATCATGAAACGACCTAGCATTGCCATTATTCTGGCTCAAAATTGAGTTTTAAAAATTGCTGATAAAGCGCCATTTTACGAGTTGCTTTTTAAAAAAAGTCGCGGAGAGTCTGGTGACGACCGTCTGAGCAGCGCTCACTGAGCTATACATGCTACTGGAGGACGTGCTCGACATAAAGAATGGCCGATTTCGGATCAATCTCGTTCACCGAGCATGCCCGTTCGCAGGTTAAGGGTGGGCATAGCTCTGGAGAAATCGAATTGATTCAGGCCTGTGATTGGCTAACGGCAGATAGTACGTTGGATTTCCAACGTGAGTTCTACGCATGCTTGGCAATTGCAGCAAAATATAAACAAAGTATTTGGAATTTCTCGTCGAAAATTTGATACATTTTACACTGAAATCGAATTGAAAACAACTAGAAATTCTGGAGGAAATATGTACGAAAGCTGCGGATAGATAGGGATACAACTACCTGAAAAATACAAGGAGCACTTCGACGTTTCAAGCGAAGGCGCTTCGACTTGTGCTGTTAGTGTTTGTATACATCGTACTTGACCTTTTATATACTGCCATATACCTAACACTACGTATACCATAAATTCTGACAGGAGAGTTAGTGTAAATTTTAAAGCATAAAAATATATAATACTTATTGTTGAGGAAATTATATTTATCAGCAAAGGTCAAGTACGATGCATACAAACACTAACAGTACAAATCGAAGCGCCTTCGCTTCAAACGTTGATGTTCTCCTTGTATTTTTCAGTTAGCTGTATCTCCATCCAACCGAAGCTTTCGTACATATTTCCCCCAGAATTTTTAGTTGTTTTCAATTCGATTTCAGTGTAAAATGTATCAAATTTTCGAAGCGAAATTCTAAATACTTTATATATATTTTGCAACATTGCCGAGCATGCGTAGAACTCACGTTGGAAATTCAACGTGAATCAATTCGATTTCTCCAGAGCTATGCCCACCCTTAACCTGCGAACGGGCATGCTCGGGGAACGAGATTGATTTCGGATTAGATTAAAAAAAATCGCCAGGTTTAGATTATAGGGTCATGGTTAGATTAGGATCAGATTAAGGTTAGGGTCGGGGTTAGGGTTCAAATTAAGACAATGTCTTAATTTGAGTGCTTTCTAACAATTAAGAAGTAGCCTTAATTTTGGGAAGAGATCATGCTACATGATTATTGATTGGATTAGTGCATATTCGTTGACTACACACGTAAAAATCTCACAATTTGTCAACAAGATGTTTTCGCAACAGGCTTGTGGCAAGCTTGTTATGTTATCAAATGTCACTCACAACTTGTTGACAAATTGTTGAATTGCAGGGCGATAACAAGTTGTTGGAACAACTTGTAACAAGTCTGTTGAGCTCAACAACTTTGTAGCAAGTTGTCAACAAGTCGTTGACAACTTGTCAACAAGCTGGGAACAAGCAGTGCGAACACATCCTGTTGACAAGTTGTTGGAACAGCATTGCTACAAATCTGCTGCAGGCTTGTTACAACTTGTGCGTTTTACATGTCTATAGTTGCCTAGCCTGCGTAGCGGCTGTCAGAGAAGGGACATTGCCAAGCTCCTAATCCCTGAGCAAAAACGACGCACTATTGCGAGTCTCGCGTTTCTGTGCTCGCGTGAAAACGCTGTACTTCCCCAGAACACTCGAAAGAAGAAACAAAGCCCCGTAAAACTATTATTTAATAAACGAGACCATAAAATAAATATCTACGTACAATAATTCATATAAATTCTACTAAAATCAGAATAATTTTATCATTTCAGGCTAGCTGTTGCCTGTAAATTAGTTTCTCCTAACATTATAGTTGTTCCCTTATGCAAACGCAATCATTATTGTTATCCAAGACCGACATCCAACGACATCATCACTATAAATCCAAGAATAGTGCACCAGGACGCCAAACGACCATTTCCACTAAAAAGAATGAGCAAGCGCCTTTTACCTCTGAGATAGTGAGATGGTGGGTTTGATTCTAGCTTTGCAGCCAGACAAGGATTTACTCAAACTTGTGGGTTTTCTCCGGGTACTCCGGTTTCCTCCCACAGGGAAATGTTATCAGGGAAATGTTATCAGGGAAATGTTATCAGGGTGGGTTGGGATTAATAGTTGAAAGATCTTGTTGATGGAAATTATGAGTGGAAATTTATATATACATTCATTAGACCTAACCAGGATTCAAAAAATTCTGAAATCCTTTCTTCTTTTAAAAGAAAAATACGTCAGGCATGAACACCTCCTTTGGATCGCACCAAATTGTTAAGTTTTTATATAATTCCTTTTCTATTATTCTTTGTTTTTCTAAATAGTTTAACTTGTATATAGTTTAATGTGTATATTCTTTAATTTGTAAGTAGTTATTGTGTGACGCCCCTTATGAAAAGCAGCTCACGTTGATCGAGGCTAGCGTATTTACCATACCATACCATATCATATCATACCATATCATACCATACCATACCATACCATACCATACCATACCATACCATACCATACCATACCATATGCAACTTCAGGTCTCCGGCAGGAATCGAACCTGCGATTCCGGTGCAGTGCTCGAACCAACTGAGCTACAGAGGCCAGTTGTCGAGCTCTATCCACAAGTTCATGTATATATGCTAGGGTACTGTCATGTATTATAGGTTATGGGTAAATATCAAGATTTTGTTGGCAACTCACTCGATTGAATACGAGTGGAAATTTATATACAATAATCGTTAGAAAATCTTCGACTCGACCAGGCTTATATCTTATAGAGTCAGAGTGGTTCAGATTTTATCCCACTATCGCTACCATTGAGGAACAATTAACCAATCAGATGCATTTAGACTATCCAATTGTCAAATCTAAACCTCTCTATTTCTCGTCTGGGGAAATATACAAGAGTTATATCTACCTTGTTTGGGCCTCCGGTACTATATCATCCACTACGACATAAATCATGGCTCCCGCTGCAAATGCTAATGCATACGGTAACATTGGTTCAGCAAGCTTAAAAATAAGAAATATTCTTAAGCCTGGTTTATACTATCAAAGTTTCTGTGATCACAGCAGCTTTTGAAGGATTTGTAAGAAACGTTTATCAAGAGCAAACTGGTTTAATGTTACACACTGAGTCAGTCCCCTTACAAATTTTTCACAACTTAGAATTTACCCATGTAAAATTCCTACTGTGATAACAGAAACTTGGATAGTGTAAATTAAGCTTTACGTGTCCTGTAAAATATATTGTGGAAGCACATTTAGGTACAGTACTGTCACATTACATTACACTGTACAAGTCAGAGCAAATGTTCAAGATACTAATTAAAGTGTTTTTAAATGTTATTCTCACCACGACAGCAAATGCTCCAAAGATACCAGCAATTGGTTCCACCATTCCACTAAGTTGACCATACCTGAACAGAATGGTATAAAGGAAAACCACTCAAACAATGGTGATCCAGTGCAGGCAGTATTAGCACCGAACACAGCACAGTATACTGCATATTTATGTGTAAGTATCAGGATTTATTCCATGCCATAAACTGCTAGACACCTTCAGATACAGTTGTGGTACCGGTGGTGAAACTACAGAATACTGCAAAATCGTGACTACAAGGTATGCCAGAAACAGGCATACCAGTACTTTATAGCCACAAACTAGCCCAGAGGGGGGGCAAAGGGGGCAAATTGCCCCGGGCCCCGAGTTGCTGGGGGCCCCTGAAAATTTTTTGTAGGGTCCCAGCCTTTTTTGTGTGTTAAATATTTCCGCGCAAAGGACAAGATATCTGTTTTCTTGGGCTAAGTACCGAATTTTGGCATAAAAAAATGAGATAAAGTCCCTTGAAAGCATTTGCAACGTACTCGTCCGGCAAAATTTTGTACTCCGGAAAAAATTTTTTACCCCTAAAATGGTACACTGACCGAAAATTTTTTGGCGACGGGGGTGGGGGTGCAGGGGGGGAGGTTGTTATCCGGAAAAAATTTTTTTATTGAAAATTTTTTTAGATAGGGGCCCCTAAAAAAAAATTTGCCCCGGGCCCCCGCCAACCTCTGGGCGGCCCTGACAACAGGTGTACCTTATATAGCCACAAACCACAAATAAAGGAACTGGATGCACAATATAGTTTAAATTAAAGAAACCTCACAACACCTGCCGGAGCTTTGGCTGCAGCTGGCTTGTTTTGAAAGCACTTAAAGTAAGCTTGCATGGCTTGAGCCAAGAACCCAAGATCCTTCATCAGTCCTGAGCATTTCTAAGTAGCATTTCTAAGTAGCATTTCTAGGCAGTTCAGACACAGTAGAGACACTAGTGGTGAGCATCACAAAACTTTCATGACTGACATCACAAGCCTTACCAGAAACTCTTCAATGGTGATAATCCAGAACCCACCAATGGTAAACTTACAGCAAGTCCTTCTGGAAAATTCTGAATGCCAATACCAATAGCTAAATTCCTATGAATGAAAGCATAAATGATTAACAGTAGAGCTGGCTACAGTTAGTATATACTAACACATCGTAGTTGTCAAATGGACTGATTTTTACCTTGCATTTTCGAAAGTAGCTGATGGACTTTTCCCAATTGCACCGAATCCAACCCCAACAGCAAGACCCTCTAAATAGTTTCAAATGATATAATTGTGAACGGTCTGTGCCGGTATAGTTAGTGCCAATAATAACAAGCTTTCATTGGTAGGGATTAACAACTACCTACCTGAAAAATGCAAAGCAAAATTCGACGTTTCAAACATTTAGGGCCTTCACCTTGAAACATAGAATTTTCCCTTGTATTTTTCAAGTGCATTTTCTCGACAGCACTCAATCTAAATTGAGTGGCTGTGACAGCCACACTGTAGAGAAATTTTAATAAAACAAGAAAGCTCATTTATGCTCTAGATACCTGGTATATTATGGACAGTTATGGCAACAATGAGAAGAAAAATTTTCTTCCAATCTGCTTTAATATTGTCTTTTTCATCATTTTCTGTTCTTTTTAATGTGCCATCCTCTACACTCGATTTTTTCTTTCGTTGAACAATGTTTATTAAGGTATCATCCGAGTCTCTTCTTTTGACAGAGCTACCATTATTTGTTATATTGTGATTGTCATATTCTGTTTTACTTTCTTTTTGACCAGATAAGAAGAAATCGCTCACATTTCCTGAGTCATAACCCTAGGGAAAAATGTTATGACTCACATCATGACAACTTATAACTCATCCTTACGACTTAAAACTCATTGTCAGTGCATGGCGTAGCCAGCCCAGCAATTTAGTCCCGCTATGCAAATTCAAAATTATTATCATTATTCATTTCTTTAGAAATCGATTGTTTTCACAGTCAATAAACATGGAAATATTTGCATAGCGGACCTAAATCGTCGGGCTGCCTACCTACTAGTCGTTGTCACAACTAATAACTCGATCATCATTATGACTATTGACTCATCATCATCACAACTAATGACTCATCATTATTTATGACTTACAACTCATCATCAACTCAACTCACCAAGTATGTCATTAAAACATCAGCCGAATAGACAAACACAGCTCCCGCTAAAAACCCAATTGACACAGGAACGAATGCATATTGTCCATCTTTACCATACAGACCTGACTTTTCAGCTGTTTCTATGGCTGGTGCCAGTAATGACCAATACGATGCTGCGGTCATCACCTTTATTATTAAGAAAACTATATTACAGACTTCTAAATATGAACCCAGGGATGAATTTACCTAGCCTTGGTAAGGGAGGGGAGGGTGCAATTAGGCGTAAAAAATAGCTGTGGTTCCGGTTTCATATCGCGAAAAAATTAGGGTGGGTAGGTCGGAAATAATTTTTTTTTAAATATTTTTTTCATGGTTTTTTCAATAATTAGTGTGACAACAGACGCCATTTTGGCAGCAGCCCGCAACCACCCGGAGAAAAAATAATAGGGTCGGCAGAAAAAAATAGGGTCGGTCGGGAACCGGAACCAAAGGTTTTTTTTTACGCCTTAACACTGGCAGGCACTTCGCAAAATATATTAGGGAGGTGGGGAGGATTTAAGTTACCATATAACCATCTTCTGTTGCTGGAAATCATAGTTCTTTAAAAACTTATTTGCCTTAAATTTCATGTACTTAAAGTTTAATCTATAGTCTACCATCTTTTCATGGTCAAAAAATAAATGTCAAAGATTTGTTACAGTTATCCAGCCAGCAATCAAAGGTTTTTGCCCCCCATGTCTGCCACTTGTGCAAGAGGGGTGCCAGTTTCCAAATGAAATGTTGGTTGGAAAGATTTGAGAATTCAGTTCTGGATTCATTCATTCCGGACTCCGAAAAGATCCTCAAGTCAGCCGATTTTTGTGACATTAAGTAAGGACCCTGCAAAGCCATTTGCTACCTTGACCAGGGTGCATTCCATGCCAAAAACTCCAGCATGACGTTGCAAAATTTGTTGGTGTATTGGTGTAATGTTCGATCAAAGTCGATGGCATATTGGCCTAAGATCTTTTTTTTTAAAAAGCATACAGGATTGTCGATTTTTACATGGATTTTAATTAATCCCCCAAAATAGAATATTTTGAAATATTGGCGTGAACAAGGGCAAATGTTGGTGTGTCTCCGGTGTAGAGTTTAATACAATAAAATGCACCCTGGGGTACATGATGACTAGTCACACTGTCACATAAATTTATAAAATTCTCAAAATTAATACATTATATTTCCTACCCCAGCAGCAAAGCCTAGACTACCATCCAGCACTTTTCGCTAAAAAAAGTAAAAATTTAATTAAAAAAACCATCATAAAAACAATGCCACAAAAATAAACACACGTTGAAAAGTAAACAAAAATTTTTTATTAAACATTTGTACGAACTGTACCTGCTTTCCATCAAAAACAAAAACCAGGGCAGCTCCAACGGCTGTCAAGCCCCAAGTTAATAAAGTTCCTAAAAATGTTTGAACTACAGCACTATAGCCAGCTATCATCTTGCAAAATAATAAATTTTGTTTAAAAGTTGTGAAAATATAAACTTGCTCCTTCGGCAGCCGCTCTTTTTGTCACCTCCGACAAATTTTTTGGTTTGTTTTTAACGACTTTTTCTCCAGGTCCGTCGTTTGCACCTAACGATGAACAGTTGCAGACTCTCTCCTCCGCATAGGCTTACATGAAGTTTCTAGTCATGGAAAAGTGAGCGCGCAAGGAGTGATGGGAACTGCGCGCGCTCACTTTTATTCAGGAAACTTCATGTAAGTTTTTTGTAAATACTTAAGGAGGCTCTGCGGAGGAGAGAGCAGTCGCAGATACAAACATTTGTAACGAGTAGTCAATCTCGTCCCCTTCCACTACCACCACATCTCACGGACTTAGCATACGTAAGCTGAAATTCAGGCCCTAAGTACGCATCTGATTGGTTAATCAGATATATCAAAACACCTGATTGGTTAATCAGATATATCAAGATAAATACGAATCTCTCTAATATTTGAGCAAGAGAACACAAAACTTTCAAAGTGCTATTCTCAATTTCCTACAAAATCATTTTCAGACTAATTTTACACAAGTGAACCTAGGCATTATGGTGATGAATTTGAAACATGTTTGAAATATCACTTTGAAACTTTTGTCTCCGATCGTTGTTGTTTTCAAATCTTGGGTGGAACATTTTATCTTATTCAGAATCTGTTCACTCTGTTTCCGTGTGTTTTATCCATTATTCCATACGTTCTTTACACATTTTGTTAAGAATTTATTTTAATTTTTAGTCACTGTCGTCATCTTTGCCATCGTCATCATCAACGCTAACATCTTCATCTAATTTCTTCTTTTTACTTTTTCTCGCTTTAGTTTTGTCCTCAACTTTTCTCTTTTGCGTCCGTGGTTCTTTCAAGATGGCCTCGATATTGTCAGGCAGTGAGGTATGGATGGGTAGAGCGATAGAGTTTGACGACTTGATATTTAATGATTGAATGTTCGTCCAACCACGGGGGATTATCTTGGCTATTTCACTTACACCATCCATTATGTTAGTAATGATTTCGTCAGGGCTCATTCCGGTATGGGCAACACGAATTGCACTATAAGAAGTCACAGAAGAGGTCGTAAAGTTATAAAGATAAACAACATATAAGCAGAAAAGAGTGCATTAAAAACACTGTCCAGAAAACAGAAGTACAGAACTCCTTGAACCATTAAAACCTCGGACGAGAGTTGAGAAGCGAGAGTTTGCATAAGAGATTTCTCAACTCTCATGCCCCGGTCAAACGAGAACAAGAGTTGCATGAGAGTTGATGAGAGTTGAGAAGCGAGAGTTTGCATGAGAGATTTCTCAATTCTCTTGCCCAGTCAAATGAGAACATCAACAGAAGAGCGCTGGTGCTCAATAGGTTTAAAGACTTCATCTATAATAGTAATACTGACCTGCAAGATCCGTGACCGACCGAGATTAATGTACATCGCAATGCTCTGCTGATCTCTTCACTTAGATCTTTCTTGTTTACGTCAATTGGCATTGGAAACCTGAAGAATAATAACAATGCCCCTTACATGCAATGCACAGAAATATTCTCAAGGTGTGGAGATTGGCAACAATTCTTGAAGACATTTAATTCTTGTACATTGAAATTGGATGAGTCACTTGGATGTCTTTGTCAGATTTCACCAGCAGAATAAACCAAACTAGCTTCTTTTATACAGGATAGCTCTCTCAGTTCTAAATTGTTCTCCTTAGAGGTCCAGTAAGGATCATCGGTCATCATCCCTTAAATTTGATAGTGTTACTGCTGGAGTAAACTTAAACTGTATAGCTCCGTCAGTTCTAAACTGTTCTCCTTAGAGGTGCATTTCCTTTTCAAATAGCAAAACTCCCTTTTCAAATAGCAAAACACCCTTTTCAAATAGCAAAACTCCCTTTTCAAATAGCAAAACTCCGTTTGCTACCTCGTGGTCTGAACATACTTTTCAGAAACCTGTACTTTATGAACCTTATTTTAAAGACTAAGTACACATTGAGTACTGAGTTTGTTCCAGCGCAAGTACGCGGCAACAACCATTGGCGTACCAGTCAGGTACGACTAGAAATCTTGAATGATCGCACCCTGCAGTAAGGATCATCTTTCGTTGCTGCAGTGTTACTACAGGAGGAAACTTGAACTAAACAAACTTAAATATTTACTGGAATGGATAGCTCTATCAGTTCTAATACATTAAACAACATTCCAAGGCCGGGTCTAAAAAGACTATCACCAAACTATTCTTACAGATTCATGATATAAACCCCTTTTCATAATATTGCAATATGCAATATTTTGAGCCTTACTTTTTCTTCCGATAAAATTCCTTGCCAAGTAACTTTGGCAGTAGATGGTATATTCTGTTGTCACATAAAAAGACATCATACAAGGTTAACAACTGTCGTCTAGATTCATACGATTTGTAGTGCGTCTTCAGCTTTTTTATGGGAATAACCTATCAGAAAACAAGAACAATGTCTAAAAAAAATTATAATTTTTTTTGGAATGAGCCATAATTGAACAAACCTTCATGATTGAAGTAACTCCTTTCTCGTTCAAGAGCTTTTTTACATTTGAGCCTTTTTCTTTTGACAATAGACATACGTCAGTAGATTTTGAATACAATGGATTTGGGAGTGGTCTATTTCATAAAATAAATTTCAATGTACATTAACAATTATTACAAAATTTCAAATAATAAAGCCAAGAAAAGCATAGCCTAAAACGGCTACATTACATATTAGGGTATGATCATCAGCATAATTGCTCAACATTTTCTGACAAAACTTCCAACTTTCAAACAGTAATAACTTCATTAATGTGAGAAAGTAGCACAACTACTGGTGGCTTACCGCTTACAAGTCAGTATTATACCATTAATACAACTGTTTTTAAACTAAAGTCTTGAATGTGTAGCATGAAGTTTAATCTAACTGTAGTATATTTTGACAGAAGTTATAACAATTTTTTTTCAGACAGTTTTTGGTTTTTACTGTGAACTGCCTCGTCCTAAAATCTACGTACATTCGTTTTGGCTTCTTGTCGGGATCTGGGATTTTTTTCAATGCAAGCTGTAACCAAATTATTTCGTTCTCATTCAGTAAACTCATCTCTTTACTTCTTGTTTTCTCGAGATATTTCAATAAGGCTGGAACAGCCAGTTCAACCTTTACAAAACAAGCATGATAATATTAGAGCGTTTACGCTCGTGAAAATGGAGTGGTTACTTAATTGGGCGTGGGGATTTAATGCAAAACTCACTTCCCTTGTGGTTGTTTGAGCACTCTGGCCAGATGGCACTTGTTGCATTGTCACTGTGCTTGGTGAGAGCAAGCTCATGGGAATCAATATGGTGGTCATCACATATCTAGACGTGTACCAAGCTGCACTAACGAGGCATAGAATGCTGAAACATGCATGTCTAGCATCTTCTGCCTGTGCAGTGGCTATTGACTCTAGTCAGGGGGATGCCAGGCCCACATGTTTGAGTTTTGTCAGGGGGAATGCTGTTCCCCCAGTGAAAATAATGGGAGGATAGCATTCCCCCACACTCCCTTTGGGTTGCTCAAATTGTAAAATGAAAGCTGCAAAGCTGGCTATTTTGTATGTCCAGTATTAATTTGAAAAGCTGTTTAGACTATGTTATACACACAATTCAGTTCAAAAATGCTCAGTTTAAAGATGCGGTACGATCTGCGGCTCTGCGCATGTGCACAAAGGAGCCTTCTTTTTATTTACAAACAGTTTATTTAGGTTTTTATTTCATTTTATGTTCTTGCAAAGCTTGATTGTCGTCTCTTCTTAATTTATTATACTCTAGAACCATGAAAATATAAGTAGTTGTCGAATAAAATTCAATATTTTGGATACCGAAATGTAAACAAAAAACAAAGCCTTTGTTTATGCACCTATCAATGTTAACCCCGAGGGGGCGGGGGTCGGGCAAAGGGTGGGGATTTGATCAATCAGGTGGTCCCATGGGTCGGGATTTGGACTGACACTTTTTTTCTAAGTGGCCCGAGGGTGGGGATTTTTGACAGATTAACACTGATCTCAGACGATATACTGAAGAAACCTGAGCCAATTTTAGAACAAACTCTGACTCGTCCCCAGTCGCCCGCGTTGTAGCTGTCAACGCCTAACCCGCGAACGGGCATATCCTCCCGCACTAAAAGGTAACGAGGGACTGTGGAAGAGTCAGGAACAAACTGAAGACTGGGCACTAGTTTATCGCTCGCTGTCTCGCGCGTTGTTTTTACAAGAAATATGGAAATTTCTGGACAAGAAATAAACACTTAAAAGCCATTTTATAATTATATTAATATCGATTTATACTTGTATATTAAAAGTTCACGTTATGTACTATTTAAAACACGAGTAGGAGTGTGTTTTATCAGATATAAACTTAAACTTAAAATACGAGTACAAAAGAATACTAATTAGGGCGAACAATTATATTAGAATACTGACAATATAATTATATAAGAATACTGTGTTTTATTAGCCTGTGTTCCAGTCCACTACACCACGTGTGGCGCAAGGTATATAAATTATTAATGAGTATTTTAAGTTATTTTGAAACGTTCTTTATGTTTGTTATACTTTTAAATTATACCGCCAAATGTATTTGTGTAATTTCCCTATCACCTGACATATAGAGTGCACCAGAAACCAAATACTTCAGTAATACAATTTCATCCCGGGGGTGGGGAATTTTGCCCAGGAATTTTCTCCCGAGGGAGTGGCATTTGACATTTTTTTTTGTAAAAATGTCAAATCCCCACCCCTTGCCCGACCCCCCCTCCCTCGGGATTAACATTGATAGGTGCATTACATACAGACTGTACCGCATCTTTAAGGTTAAAAGGCGATTTCTAATATCACCTTAAAAAGAATATAACCATTTCGGGTAAAACCATAGGCGTACGGGCACATTATTTTTGGGGGGGGCTGGGCTGAATTTGCCCGAATGACATGACGTCATAGATTTCGTGACGTCATCATAAAATTATATAATCTAAGACGACTACAAATGAAAGCCTTTCCTTTGAAGATTGATATAAAAAGAAATATGTCGTCCCTAGCCATTTCAATTATAAGCTAAATATATGGCATTACGATTCACAAAGAAAGAGAAAGTTACTAACGTAACAACATTTTTTGGTATAAAATGGGTAATTGGACAAGTACTGGTACAAGACATTGTGTAGCTTAAATAATGAGAGGACCAGTATTCCAAAAATTGTTGTTCTTAATTTTTTAACTCCGACTCCTGGCTGTCATGAACATGTACGTAAAAACCTAAAGAAATTACGATTATATAGAAATTTAAAAAGGTGGAAATTTTATGGGACACGGTAAAAGGCGAGGATAAAGAGCAAGAGATTAAAGTTGAGGAGGAAGGCAACCCTAGCTGTCCGCGTTTCGACCTAAAGATGGTGTAACATTTTCACTGTCCGTCACCGTATTCTGTTCACTATTTTCTCTGAGCTGTGACAGTGAATTTAATTCATCAACATCAATGAACGTTGTCATTGGTTTCGTTTGATCTTCGCTCATGGGTTCCTTCACATTTTTCTCAGATAGATCTCCATCAAAAGACACCGTGACTGCAGAATACTTACTACCACTCGATTCAGTTCCAAGTACGGTTAGATCATACTGCGGGTCATTGTCCTTGGTTGTCATGTTACTTTTTACAAAGAAAGTATTGATTTTCGACTGGGATGGATCCGATGATTCCATCACTGGATCTATCAGGCAGATAGAGGACCAAAATTACGGAAAACTTACTATATCGTGGGTCAATTCCATTTTGGCTTCATATTGTGCCTTGAAGGCTAATAAGTACGTTTCTGTATATTGGCCGCGTTAAAATTTCTTGTGGGCTCCTGCCGACACGTTTTTCTTCGAATTTTGTATTAAACTCTAGATATTACAGTTAAAAAATGTGAAATTTCTGATACATTTCTAATACAAATGACTTGCATCAATATAAAGCTAACAAAAAACTACATATTAAACGTTTAAATGGTTAGTGTGGATTCTCAAGCGGTTTTCGAGTTATTGCCGTTTCAAATGTGACAAATAAGCCAAAATCTCGCAAAATTCCTGGGCACTAGTCTGAAAACACGCATTCAACAGCTCATAACTCAAGAATAACTTGAAAAACCCGGGTAACTGTGTAAATGTCTTATATGTAGTTTTTTGCAAGCTTTCAAATGATGTAAGTAATTTGTGTGAGAAATGTATTTGAAATTTCACATTTTTTAACTGTAATAGTGTTTAATACAACATTCGAAGAAAAACGTGTCGGCAGGAGCCCACAAGAAATGTCAACGCGGCCAACATACAGAAACGTACTAACTAGCCTTCAGGGCACGATATATATGAAGGCAAAATGGAATTGTCCCACGATAACGTAAGTTTTTTCCTTCTATCTGCCCGACTAAGGTCATTGTACAGTATTTGTACGGTTAATACGTCAATGTCAATTATAATGTGTATCTATTTTCAGTGACTGGTGTGTCATAGCCGCGGTGCCGCCCAGGGCCAGAGACTGTATTTAGCAACCAATGCTATCAAGGGAGATAAACATTACTGATCCGATTGTTACTACGCACACTTATACCGCACCTTCACAATATGTGCAGCTATATACTATATACTTATATAGTTTAATAGTTGTATAGCCTACATTATGCTAGGTAAACTACTGAACATAGGCATGAATACAGTAGTGACATTTTATTAGTAGCCATGGCAATTGTTCCTTCGTTCTAGCCGATTATGTGGGGATTTTATACGTCTGCAGTGGTATGTGCGTAAAAATCAAAACCAAATCCGATTAAGTTAGAGCACTTGACCTCTAATAAATGTTAACCTGACGCAACATGCTTGAATCCAGCTATGCGATCTATGGTAGTAATAAATATACACAAACGTTGCCATTACAGATTTACAGTGCATGATTAAACCTGTAAAAGTTGAACTTGTTGAAATAATACTTCTGTTCCGCTTTATGGATCAATATATTCGTCTAACCACCAGACCGTCGTTGCCCGAATGACAAGACATTTTTTGCCCGAATAGGATAAATTCTCAAAAAATTGGGGGGGGCTGCAGCCCCCCCAGCCTCACCCCCCCGTACGCCTATGGGTAAAACCGTTATTTTACCATTCAATTTTAGTCACCATGTGACCAATGATGTTGAATGAAAATTTGGCACAATAATTTTTACAAAAAAAAACCAGAAAAACCACCTCATTTAGAATATAAAACAACGAAATTTGTAGCAATGTATCTAAGGAATATAATATTTTCATTAAAAACTGTCGATCTCATTGTAGTGGAGAAAAATTTCGCAAAAATACCTGATTCTTCTCCAATTTACTCTCTCTGACGACGGCCATCTTGGAACACGTGTTTCGTGATTGATGTACTTCATGTTTCTACGAATATAAGTAATCATTGAACCCGAGCTCGAGCTGGGTCTTTTTGATTTTTTTTGTTCCCTGTTTCGGTGCAGGGACCAAACAAACATAATGCACAGCAGATACATATTTTTACGTTATTACTTGTTTTAAATTCTAAGTACTGCAATATATTATATAATGCGATATGTAGCTGCCGGCCTCAATTGATACATTGGTCGAGTGTCAAGAGCCAATTGACAAGGGCGAGGTAAAATGTCGAGGGTAAAATGTCGAGGGTAAAAAATCACAAGAAACGCTATATTAAGGTCCGGTAACCGCTTCGGATAAAGAAACAGCGAAAATTATGTAATCTTCTTCAGTTGGCAGTTTGTCATATGGGCACTTTTAAATCAACTGTTGAAACGTGTGATAATTTTCAGATATACATAATAATTTTAGTTACGTTCAAATTGATGTATATATAAGGCCGGTTTACACGACCAGTGTTTTGGGCACGGCACCCCTAAAAATGGGCACCCGTGCCGAAAATTTTAGGCACGGCACCTCTACCTTTTGGCGTGTAAACGTGGCAATAATCGGCACCGGTGCCGCAAAATTTAAACGTGCCGAGACTTTCTCACGAGGTAGTCTCGGCACGTCTAGCAAGGGGTGCCGTGCCCAAAT